AGACCCTAGTATAAAACTTTTCAATTCAATGTGACAAGAATGAATGTCTCGGGAATTTTTCCACAGTACTTCTAGGTCAAAAGAAATGTGCTACAGCTCTGTTTATTGTAGTTAAGAAATGACTTAATAAATATTCATGTTCCTGCAACTCAGTAACCATTTAAAAAATACAATACATACAAATTGAAAGAAAAAATATGCCACTTCTAAATAACCCCAATTACTCACCAATGGCACATGTGTGCCTGTGGGCATTACACACTCCTCACACACTGTGATTAGATTGTGTTGTTGGATGTGGACTGGGACCAAAGTGGGTCTGCTGGACCAGTCTGGAAATGGGTTTCCAAAAGAATTTCGGGGGCTCACGCATAGGAGAGTTTGAACAACCGCGGCAACACTTAATGGAAGGGTGCATAGGGCAGCGATGCCCCCGCAGAGGCTGCTGCACTGCCTCATCCAGGGCCGTGTGGCTCAGCTCTGTCTCATTGCACGCGTCCAGCCTCCCGAGCCCAGGAGGAGGACCAGGACCCAGAGCTGCCGTGGCATTAGCCTATCATCCAAGGGTCCAGCAGTCCAGCTCGGTCTCTGTTCCCGTCCAGCCCTCTTCACCCAGAGCTGCATCACCCAGGCCCATGTGGCTGCTGCTGAAAGAGAACACGCCTGGGCCTTTGTTGGTCTTTGACTATAGTACCTTGGGCTTAGGGAGAGGGGGCTTTCATTCAAAATAACCAATCTTCCTAATCCTTTGTGAGCTTGTGCTGGACCCTCCTCCTATCCAGTCCCTCTCCTGGATCTTCTGGGTTCCGAGACCTCATCCTGTCCAGTGTTTTCCCCAGATTGTCCCAGGCTAGACTCCTCCCTTTACGGTCACCACCTGGCTTCTACGGCACATGCCCCAGCAGAGGAATTTTTTCCCTTGCTGATTCTCCCCGCCCTCACCCCCCATTAGTCTATGGGGACAGACTGGTGTTTCCTTGGGGAGAACTGAAATCCTGCCTGCTCCAGGATTAAGTCCCTTTGATGGTGGATGTGGCTGTCCCCTGGGGTGTCCATGAAGCTGTAACTCTTAGTTAATCCAGTTTAATTACATGCCTGGCTCCCTTATCTTTTGTTAGTAACTGACTGGCTGCTGAGTTTAACAACTGGTCACTGCCACCATCGTTTCCTGGTCCACACTGATTGGCATGGTTTTTGTTTTTATCACAATAACCACTAAAAACTCAGCTTTGCAAAGATATGATGCCAGAGAGAGAAATACAGTGTGATCTAATGTTGAAATGAACTAGAACTTTTTTAATATCTCACAGATACCAAATATGACTGCATTTCCCTTAAAAATAGAAAGTGTTCCACAGTGCCCCTGTGAGCTCACGACAACATCTTTGGCACACAGTTTGGGAATCACAACCCTAGTTCATAGAAGTTCACTAAATATTTGTGCAATCTCTAGCTAGAAGGTTTATGGGGTAAATTACATATTTAATTGAGATAGTGTTTTAAACAGAAAAATATAGAACAGGTATCAGTCGACAAACTTTTCTAGCAAGAAGGAAAATATTTTATGCTTGTAGCCATATAGTTTCTTGAGCAACAACTCAATTCTACTAATGTAGTATCAAAACAGGCGTAGATAATACATAAATGGATGAACATAACCGTGTTCCAATATAACTTTTTTGCCAATCCAGTTACAGAAAGTCTATAAAAAGGTATATTGTTGCACACTAAAATTGCTAAAAAGTTATAAACAAAAAGTGAAACTAAATATGATGGTCCATACTGTTACTGTAAGTAGTTAACTAGAAATTAAGAAGACAAAGCACAAATGGAATTAGAGACTGACTTTAATAAACTAAGGAGCATAAGCCTGCTTGCTCAGCCATGAAGTTTTAGCCTTCACACTCACACAGTCCAGGGGACTGCCACCGAGGACCTGAGTCCCTGGAGCACAGGCAGTCCCCCGGGAGCACTGTCTGCCTGCGGTTGCTGGGGGCAGGCAGAGGGAGGCAGCACAGAGGCCTGTCAGTCTAACGGGGGTGTGGACACGTCAAAAGCCTGCAAAAGCTTTTGGGAAGCTTTTGGGAAGTTGATTGGTTACTTTGAAAAAGCTCCTGGTTATAACCCCAGGGGGACAGAGAAGCTCTCTCTCTCTCTCTCTCTCTCTCTCTCTCTCTCTCTCTCTCACTCAGTGACCAGACCCATTTGTTCGTGTGCTCCTCCCTCACCCGGCAACACAGAACCATGTGGGTCTAGCAGCCCTGGGGCCCACAGCAGACCGCCTGGGCTCCGGAGGACTAAGCTTTAATATGGAACAGACTCTCTGGACACTGGCCTTTGTTTTAGCCTTGCTGAGGACACAGCTGGACTCTTTCCATGGCAGAACAGATGGACATGGGACACTGGAAACCAAGGGGGGCCGATCTTCACCTGGACACTCCTTGCCACATCACAGCCTCCCGTGGGTGGGTCCTTGGAATACTTTCCTGTGATCCCATGGAAGAGCCTCATTTCCACAGGCAACAACTCCAACGTGAACAAATGAATAAATTGAAATTCTTCTGAGGAAGGGGATTACAAAGAGAAAGCAGGACCTTCACATGGAGAGCCCTGGCAGACACCATCTTAACTGAACAACATCAATAAAGGGATAAATATAGATTACACATCACTTGACCATCAGATACAGTAAGAAGATGCAAAATCACTTCTGTGACATTTATACCAAAGATCTATAGCTAAAAATTAACCTCATGGAAACATCAAAAAAACCCTAGATTGAGGTCGTTCCACGAAATAACTGATGTATAATCTTCCTAAACACCAGAGTCAGGCAGGTTAAGGAAAACTGAGGGGCTGTGCCCGCAAAATGGCGGCAACAGAGATGTGGCAACAAAACGCACCTGTACACAAGACGGAGGGCCCAGGATTCTGCCACCGAGAGGCTGCTTTTTTGAATATTGAGTTTAAGCTGTTTATTAAGAAACAAAAGACTCAGGAAGAACCACTGACCCTCAGACAGGGAAACCTGCTTCAGGAAGGAGACCTGAGGATGTCGCCTTTGCCTAACTTGAGTTCAGTGCTGGAAACAAGAGGCTTCAGCCAGGCGGACACTCCACACCCTGCCGTCTCCGAGTCACCTCGCAAGGACTTCTCTGCCGAGTGTGTTCTGCTCTTTTCCAAATTACGCACGAGTATAAATTGCCCATTCTCATTTCTGAAATCTGATACCCCATATCCTCACCTTCTCCTTTGTCCAAAAATACCTTGTGTCCCCAATATTGTCTGTCTTTGGGATTTTCATGGAATTATCATGCCTATGTGAATTCCTCATGCATGTATATTAAACTTTGATTTTCTTCTATTAATCTGTATCTTTTTAATTTGGTTTTTAGCTCAGTAAGAAGAACTTAAAAGGTGGAAAAAAAGTATTAATATTTTATTAGGCCCCACAAATGTATAATTTGAAATTGGATCATTTTGCTATACAAATTATCCTTGATGTGATTGGTAAAACTGAATGTGGTATGAGAATTCAACACCAGTAATTACTCAGTATTCATTTCCTGATTTCACTGGTTATATTGTGTTTGTACAGGATGATGTCTTTACTTATATAAAATATACACTAAAGTGTTCAGGGTTGTTAGGAAACTGAGTGGGCAGCTCACTCTCAAATGGTTCAAGATAAAAGCTCTTCATACCGAATGTACGACTTTTCTGTAACACTGAGATGGCTGCCATTGAGGAGCTTTTTCAAGTGTCGAAAACAGTGGAGGACAGATGTGAGGGACACTCCTCTGCACTCAGCAGGGACAGTGGGCCCCGCTCCCTGCCCACGGGGGTTTGCCCTCATTTCCTTACCAGGCAAACACACTCCATCAACTGCACAAAGGACAGTGACCATGCACAGTTTTATTCTCCTTTATAAAGGCATAAAAGTAGATAAATCTCACTCAACTAACAAGTCTCTGTTGAACATACTACACTGTCAACACCGATGAGACAGAAGAAAAGTGCACAGAACATCTGCAAGTGTTAGGTGAGGAGAACGAAAAATGGCTTCTCCCATTAGGGCACTAGTTGGGTAGACAAGTATGACATAAATTCACTGTAAGAAACAATATACAAGTGCGTACTATTTATATAAACAGGTTAGCTTCATCTCTTACCCCACTCACCTCAAGCAAGAGCAATGAGAAGTACCCGAGGTGCTCACCTGAGAAAGGCACGGAGGCCCGGGGAGAAGGATGAGCAGTGCTGATGGCACAGGTCTGAGCGAGTGGAGAGGTCAAAGAGCTGTGCCCCTGAGCAGGAGCAAAGGGAGAGGCAGAGCCCTACCAGGCCCCTGGAATTCGGGACTGAACCAAGATTTGACTACCTGCTAGCCCCCTTAGCTGCCTACTACGTTGCGGAGGGAGAGATGCCAACCGCACACATTGTGAAGCGGGGTACCGGCCGTGAGTTACGGGCACCTGAATAAACCCAGCTGATCACTCAGAATTCATATCAAAATCAGCAGAGTCGTGGTCTAAGGTTTAGTACTTCATTCCACCTTGACAACAACCCTAAGACATAATACAATCACGATCCCCATTTCACTTTGAGAAAATGAGGTATAGAAAGGTTAAGTAAACTGCTAACGGTCACATGACTTAGAAAATAGTCAAGCCAGGATTCAGACATAAGCATTCTGGCTCCAGGATCCACGTTCTTAGCCATTATCAACGCAATTCTTACCCATTCCAAAGTAAATTATTAGTTAGGTATTAAGCAAGAATAAAAATACAAGCACGGTGATTAATTTAAATAGAAGGTTAGGAATTTAAAGAGCCCTATTCAGTGAAATTCAAGAGTGGTAAAATAATCTATAATTATAATCACGAAATATACCGTAATGACATTTATGATAATCCCTAGCTCACTATCAAGCAGAGCAGACACACCCCAAGTTCCCAGTCAGGACGGAAGCCTAGCGAGCCCCTTGGCAGCGTTCTCACCGTGACTCTCTTCATATCCAGCTGGCGCAGCTGCTGCATGTTCTGAAGGACGGTGTGTTTGTACCATGACTCTTGAGCTATAGGATTGCCATCAAAAGTGATGTCTGAGAGAGACGTCGAGTCAGCGAGGCAGCAGACACTCTCAAAACTGCAGAGACAGAAAACACTGGGTTATTTCGAGACCTTCAAATTGCACTTTGATTTGTTTAACAGAACAGTTTAGATTTACAGAAAAATAGATGATAGTACAGTTCTCACATACTCTCCACTCAGTTCCCCCTATTACTAACATCTTACATTAATATAGCACATTTTTACAAGTAATGAACTAATATCAATGCATTCTCACTAACTCAAGTCCATATTTTATCCAGATTTCCTTAGTTTTTACCTACGCTCCTTACTGTTTTGGGATCCCATCCAGCACACCATATTGCATTTAGTTGTCACATGTTATTGGGCTCCTTTTAGCTGTGACAGCTTCTCTGACTTCCCTGGTTATTGATGACCTGGGCAGTTTGGGGGCTTACTCATCAGTTATTTTTAGGATGCCCTTCGACTGGGATCGGTCTGATGTTTTTCCAGTGATTGGACTAGGGTTAAGGTACATACTAGTAACCAACATAACATCCCTGCTGATGCTGACCCTGATCGCCTGGCTGAGGCTGCGTTTTTCAGACTTCTCCAATATAAAGTTGCTCTTCCTTCCCCTGAATTCTTTGGAAGGAAGTCGTTATGGGCAGCCCACACTCAGGGGGTGGGAAGTTCAGTTTCCCCTCCTTGAGGGCAGCATCTACATGAATTATGTGAAATTCTTCATCCTGGAGGGGTTTTTTTCCTGCCACTTATTTATTTCTATCAGTTTGGATGCATGAATATTTATTTTATACTTTAAGTTAGAATCCAATACTACTTTACTTAAATGTTCCAGCTTTGGTACTGGAAGCTTTTCAGTGTGTCCCTTGGACATACTCACACCATTATGGTAGATGTGGAGATTTTTTCTTGGTGCATCCCTTCCTTCCTTTCTTCTCTTCCTTCCTTCCTTCCTTTCTTTCAAATATACTTTATTGATTATGCTATTAGTTGTCCCATATCCCCACTTCATTCCCCTCCACCCTGCACACCCTCTCCTACCCACATTCCCCCCTTTAGTTCATGTTCATAAGTTCTTTAGCTTCTACATTTCCCATACTATTCTTGACCTCCCCATTTATTTTCTACCTGCCATCTATGCTACTTATTCTCTGTACCTTCTCCCCCCTTCTCCTTCTCCCACTCCCCTGTTGCTAACCCTCCATGTGATCTTCATTTCTAGGGTTCTGCTCCTGATCTAGCTGTCCTCTTAGCTTGCTTTTGTTTTAGGTGTGGTTGTTGATAACTGTGAGTTTGCTGTCCTTTCACTGTTCATCTTTTTTATCTTCTTTTTCTTAGGTAAGTCCCTTTAACATTTCATATAATAAGGGCTTGGTGATGATGAAGCACCTTATCTGAGAGGTGCTTCCTTACTTTCTGGCACGCAAAAGTCTCTAGACTTGTATTTCCTACCCCAGGCTTAGAATCGGCCATCTCTCCAAGGAGCCACGTTCCTTTTACTGGAGCTGCTATTAGAGACAAAGATCTGCAGACTTCCATCTGTGCATCTTCTTTCTGTTTTTCAGGTCTTGTGCCCATTTTTAATGGGTTTCTTTGTTTTTTTGCTGTAGAATGTTTGAGAGTTTTGTATACATAATGGATATGACTCCAGTCAGATATGTTGTGTAAATATTTCTCCTAGTCTGTGACTTGTCTTTTTATTCTTTTAAAAAAGATTTTATTTAATTTTAGAGAGAGGGGAAGAAAGGGAGAAAAAGAGGGAGAGAAACACTGATCAGCTGCCTCTCGTGTGGGAGGCACGTGCCTCTCAACCCGGGACCGGCCCACAACCCAGGCCCACACCTGCCCTGCCAGGGTGGGAACTGAACTGGCCATCTTTGGCTTTGTGGGACAATGCACCACCAACTCAGCCATGCCAACCGGGGCCTTTTTCATTTTTTAAATAGTGTCTTTCGAAGGGCAGGTTTTAATTTTCAGGATGTCCAACTAACCACCACTCTCTTTCTTGGACCACACTTTCGGTGTTGTACTATAAACACTTTGCCAAACCCAAGGTTTTCTAGATTTTCTTTTAGAAGTTGTGTAGTTCTGTTTAACATTTAGGTCTATGATAGATTTTGAGTTAATTATGTGAAAGGTATGTGTCTAGATTCATTTTTATATGAATATTTAATTGTTCTGGTACCATGTACTGAAAAGACTATTCTTTCTCTATTGAATTGACTTTGCTCTTTTGTCAACGATCACTTGACTACATTTGTGTGAGTCTATTTCTGGGCCCTCTATTCTGTTCCACTGATATGTGTCTATTCTTTCACTAATACCACACTGTCCTAATTACTGGACCTTTATGCTAAGCCTTGAAATAGGTTAGTGTGAGTCCTCCAACTTTGTTCTTTGTGTTGCTAATCTAGGTCTTGGCTTCTCCATACAAACTTTAGCTACCATTTGTTGGTATCTACAAAGTAACTTGCTGAAATTTTGATTGAGACATTCGTGTTTTTTAAAGAAGGGAATAATCCCTTTTCTAACTAATACCCCCGAACAGAGTGGTAAAACTCACTTCCTTTAGAGTAAGCCTCATTCAGTGACTATTCAAATAACTAATGTAACACTTAGGCCTAAAAACACTTTACCCAGGCACTGTATTTAATAACCCCTCTTCCAGTGTTAAGATTCCTACCTATCCTATACAGGATTTCCTGCCTACCAGTGAAAAGACCCTATGTGTCGTGTCGACAATTAAGAATGAGGCAAGGTCTTTAACAAGAAGTAAGTTTTTTATTATCATTTAAAAATATTTCTAGTGTGTTTTGCTCCCACTCAAGGTAAAGAAATATTCTGCAATCAAGTATTTTACCTCAGAGCTTACCTTTACCAATCTAAAAGGTAAATCTCATGATTTATATGTATATTGTAGTTTCTGAGACATACTTAAATAATTATAGGAAGGGAATTTAAGGGGAAAAAAGGGGAGGGATTTGGAGGAAGAAGTATGAAAGACACAGGAATGAGGACTGGGGGGAGGAAATGGGAGGGAGGTGGGGAGCACGGGGCGGGGGGGGGCTGGGATGGGAGAACTAGTCAAAAAACTGTACTTGAAAAATAACTAAATAAAATTTAAAAAAGGAAAATACAACATATGCAAAACCAGAAAACAAAAATAATTATAGGAATATATTTTTGAAAGGCTCATATATGTACACAAAAATGAGAGTTCATGCATTAAACTTAATCTCTTCAAATGTAAATACAATGGACATTATAATGTTTTTCCCACCTAGCATTAACAAAATTATTTTTTTCATCAATATCAAACATCTCAGAACAGTTTCTGGTGTTTGAGATAGATGTTTAAAAGATGCTTCTTTCCTGCCCTGCAGTTGTTAACATAAAGCTTAAATCAAATAAAAATGATTTGATCATTTCAAAACTAAAACACAAGGCAAATGTTAAGTGAACTAACTCATCATCTTCCCTCCACAAATCTGCTATTCCATGCATACTTTCTATCTGCTAAGTGATACATGATTATTATCACCATGTTGGTTGCCACTGTGAACTAATCAATCTCTTACTCAGAAACTGATGATTCGTAATGGGAACTGCAGACTCTTCAAAGGTTTTTAAACAAGTGGGGATACTGTGATTAGAATAATCAGAACTCAGCAGCATTATGGAGGAGATGAAGGAAAAAAAGAGATGAATCAAAAACCAGTTAAAGAGTATCAACAGACTGCAGTAATAGAGGTGAAAAATAGTAAGAGCATGTCGAAAACTAAAGCAGTAGCTATGAGAGTAAAGAGGAAGGGGTACACTCCATGGGATTCCAGAGTGTAGCGCAGACGGAAACTAGCCGTCATCTGAACATGAGGAAGTGAGGAATCTAGAATAACAACCAGGTTACTGTCTTGGGAGAATGAGGTGGTGGTTACAGTATATACTTTGCCAAAATTCATTTAATTTCACATTTAAAATGGGTGCATTTTATTACATGTAAATTATATCTAAATAAATGGATTTATAAAGAAATTTAAAATGTAAAAAATAAATATTTGACCGATCACCTGTTCACCTATTTTCTTCTGGTGGCCTCCAACAACCACAGGATGGGATCACTAATTCCAACCTTAAGATATTAACTAATGTGAGCAACAGAGCAAATCGATGGTCTGTGATGAAGAGCATTTTTCTTCAGTGGCTTGGCATATCTGAACAGAATTCAACAGAAGGTTCTTGAGGGCTAGAAATGCACTGTGACCAGTGCCTCAACTTAGTAGCGAGCACTGAGTAGCTTGTTCAGTAAACCTTGGTGAGTGAATAAAAGAATATGATTGACTGAAATGATTCCAAAGGGCTTATCCTTGATTTTAAAAAACTGAATTTTCTTACACTATTCTTAGAATTGTTATTGAAAAGACATCAAGCTTTTAAGAATCCTTATGACCTGCTATCTGTCCCAAATCAGGTAGATGCATTTTAAAAGTGTAAATAACATGTCTATAAAGAGAGAATGTGAAGCTGGAAAATTTTATTTTATTGTAAGCAGATTCCAGTTTTATTGTTATTTACTATCTATTTACAAGACAGACTACAACCAATGATTTGTTTCTTATTCCTAAGTATAACTTTGAATTGGTTATAACTGTTCCCAACCCTATATGTCTCAAGTATTCCTTTGGGAAGTAAAATTAGTCTAATAATTACCAATTGGGTGGGGATAAAAACAAATCTAAAAAGTATCTTCACTGAGTTCTGATGAAGGCACATTTGTGGACACAGAATAAAATCGTATGCCCAGTGAAGTACTTCAGAGATGGAGAAGACCTGTGGATGCCCATCTGGTGCACAGCCACTGTACAGTTCAAGCTCAACCACAGGAGGAGCCGGGAGTGGGAAAGCCGTGGCAGTCCTCAGCGGGTGCTATCCCGGCGACCCTTCCCAGATCAGATGCTAATACTGACGCCCCAACTGAAGTCTTTATGCTTTGAACAGTTTTACTAAAGTAAAAATAAATCTGTATTTGATCCATGAAATTCCTCACAAAATTTT